GGTGCAGTGACAGCAGGAGGCCCCATTAGCTAAAGTGGTGCTTCAGGTTAAGAACAGTTTCAGGTTAAGAATGGACCTCCGGAATGAATTAAGTACTTAACTCGAGGTACCACTGTATCTTTCCTTTAATTGCAAAATGTTGCATATCCTTTGTCGAATCTGCTGGGTCTTCACACTGTACACAATGGGATTGAGAAGTGGTGGGACAGCAACAAATATGTTGGCCATCAGCATGTGGACAATGGGGGAAAGGTGCTTTCCATATCGATGTGCCACACTGATGCCAATCATTGGGATGTAGAAAATCAAGATGGCAGAAATGTGGGCCACACAGGTGTTGAGAGCCTTCAGACACACTTTTCGGGAAGCAATGCTCAAAACTGTCTTCAGGATCAGGATGTACGATACAAGAATGATAAGAACATCCAGCATTATAGTGCACATGACTATAATCAAGCCATATATGATATTGACTTTTATGCCTGCGCAGGCTAATTTCATGGTATCTTGGTGGAGACAGTAGGAGTGAGAAAGGACATTGGATCTGCAGAAAGGGAGCCGTTTAATGAGAAATGGGAATGGGAAGCAGACACAGGAACCTCTGGACAATATAGCTATTCCTATTTTTGCAATGACTGAATTCGGTAGAAGTGATTTGTATCTCAGTGGATCACGGATGGCAATCAAGCGGTCAAAAGCCATTGCCACAAGAATGCCAGACTCTATTGCTTGTAATGCATGGATGAAGAACATCTGGCTGATGCAGGCATTGAATGGGATTTCTCTGGAGTCAAACCAATAGACCCCCAGCATTGTTGGCATGGTGGACATGCACAGGGCCAGATCCGAGCAGGCAAGCATGCAAAGGAAGAAGTACATAGGCTCATGAAGGCTTTGGTCAGTCTTGATGACATAGAGGATCGTGAAATTCCCAAGCAGAGTCAGGGCGTAGAGCACAAACAATGGGAAGGCCATCCAAGAGTTCTTCTCCTGCATCCCAGGGATGCCAATCAGGACAAAGGTTTGGTGGCTCACAAGGCTCTCGTTGAATCTGGTGATGGAGGACATCATTCCACAAGAGCGTTTGGTGAAAGGACTTGGAGAAGTCCCAAAATTGATCTGTATATTATAGATTCTGGCATTATTTCACAGATTTTGTAAAGGTTCTATTGTTATTCTAAGCAGGCACAAATTTCTTAGTTTTCTCCAACACAAAATGTTGTGTTTGACCCTCCAAAGAAGGAAGAACAGTCCCGAATGCTCCTTCTTCCCTGGCTAAGCAACGCCCAGACTCTATACTGAAACCCATTCCCCCAAATCTTCCAACTCCCACCAGTGTGAATTTCATTATTTAACTCATTGCCTAAATCACTTATACCTTTTTATGTAAAACAGATCCCCAAATTATTATCATTCTTGAGTACTAGACATTGCAATGTGTGGCTTGGGCAGCTATACTGTTTTTGAGTCAAAGAGACTCCCAAAGAGTTATTGCTGAATATTGGCTGTGGAGGTCAAAAAGTGTGGCTTTTGCAAATTCATCATCTCTCAGTTTCTCATCTGCAAAGTAGACATAAGAATCACAGTTCAGTTGTTGAGTTAGATAGGATATGCCTTAATGACTGAGTGCATAACAGTAAAAGGAAAGGAGAGTCCACATGTCTCACCTCACCTCCTTCTCTTCTGAGAAGACACCTTGAAACCGAGCTCCTTCATTTTGAAGCCCTACCCAGTGGGCAAGAGGGATGTGACTGGATATAACCAGAGACTGAAATCAGTGGGTAGAATATTGATTGATTTATCATTTCTATAGAAAAACATCACTGAATGAGAAAACAGATTTTCTTGCAGAGGAAATAACAAACTGAGCTCTTCACAAAAGAAAATAATTTATATTAAGAGTTAGGGTCAAGGAAAACTTCATGTTTAAGAGGCATCTAAAGCTTATTGTTGCCCCTGCTTCAAGAATTATCTGAGGAAGAGCAACCCAGGGGTTGGGGGCTCTAAGACGGCCAACTTTCTCCTTTTTCACCAGATGGCTCTCAGCTGGTTGTGGAATTAAAAATGTGAAATTTCATCAGCTGGAAACCAGGGAGTGCACTTGTTCTTGTGAGAGGCATCATACTTTAGCAAAGCCTTTTTTCCCAGGGGGAAGTCACAGCAACTCAGTTCCAGGACCTCCCATGTGGGCAACCTTCCAAACTGCAAGGAAAAGCAGATTTAATCCACTTTAAATGTGTAAACCTAAATCTTTGGTGTGTGGTTGACTCACTCTCAGGAAATACTGACCATCTGCAGATATCCAAATAAAAATAAGAGCGGCATAAAATCGTCTGTGGAAAAGATGGAGCAGAAGGATCTAACCCAGTGTAAAAAGATTGTGAAAGGCTGGAAGAATTGGCTTCTGGACCCAGTTGACAGAGCACTGACTGATATATGCAGGCACCTGACCTTTGGTGTGATGGTGTCTCTGTTGTCTTTCCTGCACCTGCTGAAAACCCTCCTCTTCCAACAAGCCTTTCAAGTGGACGTCTCAATCCCTGTCTGCAACTGCATTAGAACTGCTTTTACCAGTTTTATAAACGGAATAGTTCTTAAATGTTTGTATGGTATTTATATTGGGATTTTTAAAAATCTTTTACATATGGAACTGTTTGCAACTGTTTCCACAGTTTTCTTGTTTTATGGCTGGAATTGTTCTATGCGCTTGATAATTGTATATTTTATTGTTGTAGCCCACCCCAGCGCCAGAAATCAAAGAGACAAATGAATAAATAAAATGTAGAAGATTGTTTTACCATTGTTTATGGCTGTCGTTGTCCTCAGTACCCCAGGACAGTGGACCTCAACCCCCCCCCCCAACAAAAACCCAAGAGCAGAGCAATACAACTCCAACGTATGGGCTCCTGTTTCAGGAAGCCAGTTGTTTTCCTGAATGGTGCAAAACCTCCTTCCAATATGAAATCAAATGAAATGCCAGCCTCTCTCTGGCCTGCCCAGGATGAATTGCAGCATTTTCAGTGTGGTTCCACCTAAAGAATCCCTGACAGGTGGCCACCTAACCTCTGCTGGAGAACCTTCAAGAAAGGAGAGCCCACCATCTTCTGAGGGAGTCTGTTCCACTGCTGAACAGCTCTTACCCTAAGGAAGTTCTTCCAGATGTTTAACCAGAATCTTCTTTCTTGTCATTTGAATCCATCCATCCGGATCTCACCCTCTGAAGCAGCAGAAAACAAGCTTGCTCCATCTTCCATGTGGCAGCCCTTCAGATATCTGAAGATGGCCATCATATCACCTCCCAGTCTCCTCTTATGATCTTAATGATCATATTGAAATACCAATAAGCAAAAAGGCCTCTGATTGGGATTTGCCCCCCCACCTTTAAACACTATAAAATAAAACCTGGTAAAAGAATCAGAACCAAATAGAAACCATCTCCATCATCTGATGGCCTCATGACTGGGGAAGACCTTTGCACTTACCTGACTCTATAGGACAACCCATAAACCTGAAAAGAGTTCTCCCGTGGTGGACACTGAGCCTGCCTTTGCTGTTCCTATATGGACTCTGCCTCTGCTTTTTATGGCATTAAGCATGATAGAAAAACTGCTTTCCTGCAGGGAACCAACCTGCCTCTGAACTGCCAGAAAACAGCTGAACCCCAGTGGGAAGACATCTCTGAAATCCCAACAGCAGTTACTAGAAAATCTTCACAGATTCTGCATAAGAAGCTGCAGTTCTGCTCTCAGAGGCATTCAAGAGATCACTCTCTGCTCCCATATTCCATCAAACCAGAGAGGTGGGATGCAGACATAATATATTAAGAAGGAGGGAGTTGGAAGGGATCCTGAGGGTCATCTGGCCCCAACCTCTGCAATGCAGCAATCTCAGCTGGAGCATCCACAACAGGTGGCCATCCAAACTCTGCTTAAAAACCTTCAAAGAAGGAGAGTCCATAATTTCCCCAGGGAGACCATTCCACAGTTCAACAGCTCTTACCCTCAGAAGTTCTTCCTGATGTTCAGTTGGAACCTCCTGTCTTGTAACTTGAAAAGGTTGTCTAGGCAGTAAAACCTGGCTTAGTTACAAAGTTGTGAAACTTCCTAAATGATTGGAACTCAAAAGAGGCTGGTGAGAGCCATGCTGTTTGAGGCTTGATTACCTAGTTCCTCCCAAGGTGAGGGGAAGTGGGCATAGCAGGATAGTTTATGGTATTAACCCCTTCATGCAGTAATTAGACTTAAGCATGTTGGTTTTATTTTATTTATTAAATTTGTATAGCACATTTCATCCGTAGATCCTAGGGTGGTTCACAAAAAAAGATAAAGTACAAAAAATACATAATAAAAACAGAAACAAACCAATAACACACACACATCCAACCACACACACACTTAAAAGGGTATAGGATGATAATCAGCCAAATACCTGGTGGAAGAGAAATGTTTTGGCCGCCCACCCCTCACTCAGGCAGATGCTCAAGGAGGATACCACTGTGGCTGCATATCCCACAGTTGGGACTCAATCTGTTTAGCGCTTTGTACATTAAAGTTAACACATTGAATTGGGCCCGTCAGCAATCAGGCAAACAAGCAGTTCCCATAGGATTGGTGTTCCATGTTCCCTTCCTGCAGCACCACTTACAATGCATGCAGCTGAATTTGGAATCGGCTGCAACTTCTGGACTGTGCTGAAGGCTAGCCCCTCATAGATCACATTGCAAGAAGCCAGTTGAGAGGTGGCTGGAGTGCTGTGACCGGACTCCTTCTGTGGCTGAACTCTGCATCTGGGAGTGGAGCCACTTGAACCCCCTTGGGCATTGAAAACAGGACCCCCCCTCACTTTCTTCTCTGCCCTAAAATCAAGGTCTGAAGTGTGCAGAGTTGTTTAGGAAGTTTCATTTTTTAAAAAGGACAAAGGCCAGCTATTAAACAGATATGAAAGCAGCATGGGATGGATGCATTGGTTGATAAAAATAAAATACCTTTCGCTTCACTATATCACAGAATCCTTCTTTGAAAGAAACATCTTTTCTTTAATTGCAAAACACTGCATATTCTTTCCCGGATCTGCTGGGTCTTCACGCTGTACACAACAGGATTGAGAAGTGGGGGGACAGCAACAAAAATGTTGGCCATCAGCATGTGGACAATGGGGGAAAGGTGTCTCCCAAATCGATGCGCCATACTGGTGCCGATCATTGGCACATAGAAAATCAAGATGGCAGCAATGTGGGCCACACAGGTGTTCAGGGCCTTCAGGCACTCTTGATGGGAGGCAATGCTCAAAACAGTCCTCAGAATCAGGGCGTAGGACACAAGAATGCTCACAACATCCAACCCTAAAGAGGAAATAACTACTGTCAAACCATACAAGAGGTTGACTCTTGTGTCTGCACAGGCTAACTTCATGGCATCTTGGTGGAGACAGTAGGAGTGAGAAAGGACATTGGATCGGCAGAAAGGGAGCCGTTTAATAAGAAAAGGGATTGGGAAAATAACACAAAGGCCTCTGGACAAGACGACAATGCCTATTTTCACAATTACTGAATTTGGCAGAAGTGATCTATATCTCAGTGGATGACGAATGGCAATCAAGCGATCAAATGCCATTGCCACAAGAATGCCAGACTCTATCCATTGAAAGGTATGGATGAAGAACATCTGGCTGATGCAGGCATTAAATGGGATTTCTCTGAAGTCAAACCAATACACGCTCAGCATTGTTGGCATGGTTGACATGGAGAGGCCCAGATCCGAGCAGGCAAGCATGGAAAGGAAGAAGTACATGGGCTCATGGAGGCTTGTGTCAATCTTGATGACATAGAGGATCATGATGTTCCCAATCAGAGTCAGGGCGTAGAGCACAAACAGTGGGAAGGCCACCCAAGAGTTCTTCTCCTGCATCCCAGGGATGCCAATCAAGACAAAGGTTTGGTGACTCACCAGGGTCTCATTGGAGCTGGTGATGGAGGACATTGTTCCCCGATGTTTTTCTTCTTAGAAAGATTCTAAGGAGCCAGAAAATTGATATGAATATTAGAGGTTCTGAAATGATTTTACAGATTCTGTAAAGCTTATATTGACATTCTGAACAGGCAATCAAAGTTTCTAAGGTAGATTTGTTCTGTACCGTCACGTGTCCCAAACGCATTGTTGAGACTGGAGGCAAGTCTCCCTTAAGTACGGACTTGGCAAAGAACTTTTAATTTCTGGCTCCGCCTAAACTCAAATCCCCCCCAGTTTACTATCCCTAGTACTTCAAGACTCCCATAAAAGTGCCTGGCTTAAAACCGTCTATCAAAAACTTCACTCTTGTGGGCTATTCTCACAACACCTACCCACTATGGGCCCCACTAAAGCAAACAGTCTAATTGGTCAACGTCTAAAAGATATCGAGCATCAAAACAACCTGGCCACGATAAGGAAATTCTACCCTTGGTATGTTCAGTTTCCACTTCTCCATTTTGATTCTCTGGCCCCATATCTGCACAAACCTATTCTCCTAAAATACAGACGTGCTTTTACACTTGCATGACTGGAAGTTTTGCCATCTGCGGTACTCGAGGGTTGATTCCAAAAGATCCTGCCTGATAAAAGTCTTTACCCCTGTGGAGATGGTACCACCAAAACAGCGGCACACGTCCTCCTGTCCAGTACTCTCTACAAAGACCTGAGGAACGAGATCATCACCCCACTCGCACTAACCATCCCAGGGCGCTCAGCCACTGCCACAATGTCCTTTCATCTATCAGATCAAAATGAGCAGATAACAGCAAAGGTTGCTAGGTTCATAGCAGGGGCAATCCGATTAAGGGCCACTAACAGACTGCTGATTCAGGACTTTAAATTGTGCTTTTATATCAAATTTCCTGTTCTGCATATTCTGTAATGTTTTACTGTTGCTATGGCCATTGGCTAATGAGAATAAAGTTTTATCTATCTCTCTCATTCTGAACAGGACTAAATTGTTTAGTTTAGTCTAAAGGGGAAAGTTTTCATAGGATGTCTGGAATGATCCTTCTACCTTGGCCAAATACAACCCTAACCCTCTCATGAATTTCAGTTCCCAACAGTCTCCCCTTTCCAACCGGTGTGAATATCATTTTTAAATGTATTAGTTATTAGCATTATTATTTGTTGAGGGGTGTCAAAGAGACTCCCAGGTGTTGTTCTTGTTGAGGATTGCAGCATGTCGTTTGGCACATTCATATTCTTTCAATTTCTCACCTGAAAATCAGAAATAACAATCACAGTTTCATTGTGGATTGGAAATGAGATATCTAAATGACTAAATGTATTGCAGTGGCAGACCTTTGGGTCTCAAATTTCGGTGGCAGACTGTGCAATGCCAAAATCTGGCACCTCTCTGCCTTTCACACTCCATTCTAAATAATAGTTGTGGCGTCTCCTGCAGAACCCCTGAGGCGACTGCACTGCCTGCGCTCCCCTAAATCCGCCTCTAAGTATTGGGTTAGCAGCATGGAGGTCTCACTCCATCTCCTCCTCTTGTGAAAAGACGTCTTGAAGCTGAGGTGCTTCGTTTTGCAGCCCGTAGGCTCCTATAGACAAGGCTTATAAGCATCTCCATCTTTTCATGGCCTCATGACTGTGAAAGACATCTCTGAAGTCAGTCAAGGGAAAACCCATCTGCTTTGTATCTCATGCAGTCATTTGCACTTACCTGAGTTTACGGTGCAGCTCATGGACCTGACATGACTTCTTCCAAGCTGCCTCTGCTGCTCCAAGAGGGAATCTGCCTGAGCCTTTTATGGCATGGAAGGTTGCAGTAAATCTGTTTTCCCTCAGAGAGGCCAGCTGCCCCAAGACGCCAGAAAACTGGGAAGAGACACTTGAAATCCCAACAGCAATTACAGGGGAATCCCCATGGACCTGCAGTTGTCTTCTCAGAGACTCTGTGCCCCCCATTTTCTTCTTGCGCTGGAAAAATTACATGTTCTGCCCTTATCGCCATGCTATCCACACTTGCAACAACATCCTTGTATCGCTTTTTAGGTCCCATCGGGTTCTTGGTGTGTGCAGTGAGTGCAGTGTCAGATCATGTCCCAGCTTATGTAACTTTTCAACTTTTCAGTGTAATTAATCCCTCTCCTTGTTGCCTCTTTCCTCCTTCACTCTTGTGGAGGCGTTCCATGCATCGAATGTGTATCAGCAGAACGGAAAACTAATTTTGAACTAAACACCGAGATCGAACCCGTAACCTTGGTGTTATCAGCACCACTCTAACCAACGGAGCTCTGAATAGACTATCCATGATGCTGTCTTCCAAGTCCCCATATGATGACTTCCCATAGCATTATATAGATACGCTGGGTTAGATTGTACTGCTTTATATGTGCGGTACCACCATGCTCTCCCCGTATGGTTTTTTTTAATTCCCAAAGTCAATGAAAATAGAAAGTCATATCAGGCAAATACTTTGGCTACAATCTACTCCCTGTCATGCTTACCTTCTATTAGTAGGGAGTGTTTAGCAGAAGGGAACATTCAGAATGTGATTGATCTACAAACTGGAATCGGTACAGTTCACTCTACCAAAACATTCTGCTGTATGTGTAAGATACATCCTTTGATCCTGTGGTCTCTTAGCATTTGCAAAGTGGATGATTATCACATTGTCAGTCTCTGGATTGTGGCCAATGGGTATTAGAAAGCAGTCTAGTAAGACACAATGGAAAGAGAGAGAGAGAGAGAGAGAGAGAGAGAGAGAGAGAGAGAATCACAAGAAAGTGAAGATGACATCATTTAGGATCTCACAGACCAAAAGCTAAAGGGTAAAGCAGTCCCCTGATGCCACTCTGCATGAGCAGAACAACTGTATCATCTTCTCTCCTACATTAGGGTTACCAGATGTTCCCGGGGACAGTCCCTGGATTTGCAAATCTGTCCCCAGGAAAAGTGGCAGCGGCAGCCTCAGCTCTGGCTGGCTTCAGGAATTGCTCGATGCCCGCTGCTGTGGCGCCCACCATTTTTCCTTGCCGGCCCGAACTTCCAGTGAGGAAAAATGGTGGGCACCACAGCAGTGGGCAGCGAGCAGCTCCTGAAGCCAGCCAGAGCCAACTGCGCTACCAGGCTGTCTCCGGGCTGCTGACTGCATCTGCTGCCACCACTGTCGAAGGGGAACCGGGGACGTCCGGCGGTACAGATCTCCTGCCCCCTTCCCCTTTTGTTTTGACTGATCAGGGGAGGCTGGGAGTTGTGGGAGGGGGGCCGTTGCCCAGTTTTTTAAAAACTGCGCATTTATGTTTCACAGGGTGCAAAAGAAGGGCTTTGCACCTTTATACAATATGCATGTGTGCTTGGGCCCAGGGTCTTTTGCTCACCATCCCCACTACTGACTCCCTGTTGCTACTCAGCTTCAAAAAATAATAATTAAAAAATGGTCCCCGGATTCATTGAAAAAAAAATCTGATAGCCATATCCAACATCCAGTGCACAGAACCACACCTGGAGGACATGATGGTCTGCAGAGAGAGCAAGGAGAATATAGTGTCACACTCCACTATCTTACTTGATCAGAATCATCAGCCAAGATGATCAAGGCCATTCAAGTGTCAAAATCAGACCTGAAGCCAGATTGGAAGGGATGAAGTAGATCAGGGGTAGGCAACCTAACGCTCTTGGGCTGGATGCGGCCCAATCGCCTTCTCAATCTGGCCCACGGACAGTCCGGGAGTCAGAATGTTTTTACATGAGTAGAATGTGTGCTTTTATTTAAACTGCATCTCTGGGTTACTTCTGGGGCATAGGAATTCGTTCATTTTCTTTCCAAAACAGAGCCTGGCGCACCACAAGGTCTGAGGGACGATGGACCAGCCGATGGCTGAAAAAGGTTGCTGACCCCTGAAGGAGATCATGGGGAAACTCATCTGCTTTGTATCCCAAGCAGTTCTTTGCACTTACACTAACAGCTATGAACCTGAAACAGCCCTCCCGTGTGATTCTCTCTTTGATAAAGGAAGCATAATTGATACAAAGTAAAATCTCTTTACAGAAAGGTCCCATCCCCATCTTGGAGGATTGGGGTAAACAACAAAAAATATGGGCATGAGTAAAGGAATGAAGTTATTATTGCCAAGGTCCAAAAGATGTTCAAGCATTTGTTCAGGGAATCAGAAGTGGCAACAGTGGTTATTTATTTATTTATTTGCATTTATAAACCATCTGTCATCCTGAAGGATCTGAAAATGATATACACAAATAATAGAACCATGAAGCAATTGGTTTACAATAATTTAATAAAGCGCATTGAATACATATCAGTTAAAGTAGTGCTGTAGTAGCTTCAGAAATAATCATGTTCAAGGCAAGTGACAATCCCTCTCTGATATATACATACATACATACATACATACCCAGCCAACCAAACTCCTTTGGTTAGATCTTATTAGTCCTGATTGGGAAGGGTCAGGAGCTGATGTGATTGGCTGAACCCCTTGACGTGTCTTGTCCTCAGGCAGCAACAGCTGATTCTGATCATTTACCGTTTGACCAAGTGGTGTCCTAGAAACCTCCCTGGATCTTACTTCAAGCATGGTGGCAATATCCAAGCGCAGCTGAGTGACTTGGCCTGTAACTTGCTCTGCAACATTCCCCACATAGGGCCAGCTTGTGTGTGTGTGTGTGTATGTGTGATTTTGCGTGTGTGTGATTTTGTGTGTTCATTTCCCCAGAAAGGTACATTATAAAATATGGCCCCTTCTTTTGAACATATTTAAAGACTTTGTACTTGCATAACAGTGATATTACTGGCTGTACTGAGTCTCTTTAAATTTATTTGTTTCTTTCTAAAAGGCAGAAATCAGCCCTCAGACTAACTTGATGATGATGATGTAGAAATAAATAACATTGTTCAGAAAGGCTATTAATGGTTATTCTACCACTATCAGAGGCTGAATGACACTATACCTCTGGAAGCTGCAGGAAGTGAGAGAGCTGGACTCAGGTCCTGCTTGCGGATTTCCCATAATAGCCATCTGGAGAGCCACTGTGAGAAGAGAATGCTGGACTACATAGGCCATTGGCCTCATCTAGGAGCCTCTTCTTGTTCTTATGACAAGTCAGACCAGTTATTGAATATATACGGTACCAATATGTGGTTTATCTGTGTATTCCTAATTACAATACACTTTCACACCACTTTATTATGGAATTCTCCTTTGGTAGAAAGATCAAGCCCTACTTTTCCTTAACTTCAAAATGTTGCATATCCTTTGCCGAATCTGCTGGGTCTTCACACTGTACACAACGGGATTGAGAAGTGGTGGGACCGCAACATAGATGTTGGCCATCAGCATGTGGACAATGGGGGAAAGGTGCTTCCCATATCGATGTACTACACTGACACCAATCATTGGGACGTAGAAGATCAAGATGGCACAAATGTGGGAGACGCAGGTGTTGAGAGCCTTCAGACACTCTTCCCGGGAGGCAATGCTCAAGACAGTCTTCAGAATCAGGACATACGATACAAGAATGATGACCACGTCCAACCCCAAAGTGCACATGACAAGAATCAAACCATACAAGACGTTGACTCTTGTGTCTGCACAAGCTAATTTCATGGCATCTGGGTGCAGACAGTAGGAGTGGGAAAGGACATTAGATCTACAGAAAGGGAGCCGTTTAATAATAAAGGGGATTGGGAAGATGACACAGAAAGCTCGGGAAAACACAGCTATGCCTATTTTTGCAATTACAGTGTTTGGGAGAAGTAATCTATATCTCAATGGCTCAGAGATGGCAATCAAGCGGTCAAAAGCCATTGCCACAAGAATGCCAGATTCTGCCCATTGGAACGAATGGAGAAAAAACATCTGGGTGATGCAGGCATTGAATGGGATTTCTCCTGAGTCAAACCAATAGACTTGCAGCATTGTTGGCATGGTTGAAATGGAGAGGCCCAGATCCGAGCAGGCGAGCAGGCAAAGGAAGAAGTACATGGGCTCATGAAGGCTTTGGTCAATCTTGATGACATAGAGGATCGTGATGTTCCCAAGCAGAGTCAGGGCGTAGAGCACAAACAGTGGGAAGGCCACCCAAGAGTTCTTCTCCTGCATCCCAGGGATGCCAATCAGGACAAAGGTTTGGTGGCTCACCAGGGTCTCATTGGAGCTGGAGGACATCATTTCCCATGTGCATTTGGTGGAAAGATATTAAGGAAGTGGTTATATTTTCATTCTGAAGAGAGATAAATGTCTGAGTTTAAGTTCAGCGGAAAAAGTTGCATTAGTACCCCAAAACTCATTCACTCAATGTTCTGTCTACCTGAGGCAAATAACACTCCAACCTTTGCATGAATATTAATCCCCAGCTCTCTAACTAATGTCAGTTTAAGCATCTCTTGTGTAAGTTGTGTGTCCCAGAAGCAAAATCTTGCAGTTCAAAGGAGATCTGATGAACTTCTTCCTTCCACCAGTTGGTTTGACAACAGAGCATTGGCATCATTTGTAGCGACTACAATTCTGAACAGGGACCTCATAAGTCCTTTGCTGGAAAGCTTTCTTCAGCCACAAAGGCTTTGTCCTTCTCCTGCAGTTGAAGCATGATACCAGTCTACATGGCAGGTCTTTCGTAAAGGTCACTTGGAGCAATGTCTGTTCATGACATTGTCCTGCATTTTGTCAGAAGCATTCCAGCATACCGTTTTCCATCAGGATCTAGTGTTGTGACACAGGAAAACTTTCCTTACACCATGCATAATTTTAAACACCTTCATCGTGTCCCCTTCCCTTGCTCTCCTCTTTCCTAAACTAAAATGTCCCAAATACCCCTTCCTTTCAGGGCATTATGCGGCAATCTGAGAAAAAAACCATTCCAATTACACAAATATAGTAACATATTAAATTCATTTCACAACAGTGAAATAAAAAGGCAGTGTAACATCACACACACACACGCCCTGCACCTCTCTACCAGAAGACCTTCCTCAGCTATAGACCCCCAAAGAGTCAAGACACAGACCTTGTATCATGCTGTCATTTTCGGAATTCTTACTATGTGTGAAGCGTGGCAATCAGCATATGTGAGACACTTCAGTGCAGGATCTTATCTGGTTGGTTCCCCAGGAATCATTGAAGAAAAACTGCATGTTTACAGAAATAGTCTGTCTCCAATCTATGACCGCCTAGTATAAATCTGTCCTCATCAGCTATGAAAACCTTGTCCGAACTCATAAGCTTCTTTGCTTTGTGGAGTAGCAAAATGATACAGTGAGTTGTTCACTTAATCAAAATTCACCGCCCGCCACAAAAATATATTACACTTCAATATTTGCAGGTGTTCTGTTCGTGGTATTGTACTGTATTTTGTCAGAAACCTTCCGACATTCACTTTCCCATCAGGTTCTAGTGTTGTGACAGAGGGAGAAGAACTTCTTGCACTGTGCATAATTTTGTCCAGCACCATCGTGTCTCCTTCCCCTGGTCTCATTTTTTCCTAAGCTAAAATCTCCCAATTGTCATATCCTTCCCTCCAGCCCTTCAACCTTTTGGTCTACAATCTTCCTTTAAGGTGCAGCAACCAGAACAAGGTGTGGCCTTAGATTGTTTTGTTATCCATGCTATTCCTATGTAAAAGATATTAGCTCTGCCATTTCATAACATCATGACTGTAGGCCTACCTGTCGATGATCAAAGAAAAACTCGTCTGCCTTTGTTTCTCAAGGAATCCTTTGAACTCACCTGACTTTATGGCACAAACCATGAAACTGGTGTGGTTTTTCCCATGGTCAATGCTGAACCAGACTCTGCTGTTCCAGTAATTATTCAGCATGTGCTTTTTATGGTGTTGGAAATGTAGCAAAAATGTTTTCCCTTAGGGAGGGAATCTACTGAAAAATTGCCAGGAAGCTTGGAGATAGGTTTGCTTCAAGTATGGAGAACGCACAAAAGCCACCAGCCTGGACTACAAGGGGACAATCTAAATAAGAGAAATGTGGATATTTGGACATTTTATGGGATGGTATAGATTAACACTGAGTGGACCTAGAGTTTGATCCTCCAGAGCTGTTCTTGGGTTCTTATATTATCCATGCTTAAAATGCATAAGCTCTATCCTTTTTGACTGATAATGACCTATCTGAAGTCAATTAAAATGTTTATATTCAAAAGAGGTCTCTGCACTTAATGGACTCTAAGGCATGAGCTCTGGGTGCAACATGATTTTCCTGACAGTAAGCACTGAGGCAGGGGTAGGCAACCTTAGGCCGGATGTGGCCCAATCGCCTTCTCAATCTGGCCCGTGGATGGTGCATTTTTACATGAGTAGAATGTGTCATTTTATTTAAAATGCACCTCTGGGTTATTTGTGGGGCATAGGAATTCGTTCATTCCTCCCCCCCCCAAAAAAAATATAGTCCGGCCCCCCACAAGGTCTGAGGGACAGTGGACCAGCCTCCTGCTGAAAAAGGTTGCTGACCCCTGCACTGAGGGATTCATGCCTATGCTTTTTATTGTGTTCCAGTTAGGGTTAAAACTAGTGCTACTTATCTAGAAAAAGAGGTGGTGGAACTCACGTATCTTGTTCTCTAATAATGACAATGGCGCCCACTGTGTTCCAGCTGAACAAAAGGCCTGGTTAAAACCTCCTGTGCTTTCCCTCTGGGAGGGAGGCTGTCCCAAAACTGCTGGAAAACTGCTGAATCCCAGAGGAATGTAATATGTGAAATCGCAGTAGCAATTGCTAGAAAATCTCTAAGGATCCCTCTGCAAAGACTCTCGGAGAGATGCTCTGGAGATCTTGTGTGTGCTCTTACATGACAGCAGATGAGTAAGATGAGAGCATTTTTTAAAAGTAATTTGGTACTATTGTATTGTTAAATGCCACCCCAATCTCTGAGCAATGAGAGCCTTCAGGGGACCCTGACCTCAGTTTCCTTGGAATGAGCGACAGCAGAGTCTACAGCATCTTTAGCATATATCAACACACATATGCAACCTGAGAATAGAATGGAGGGGCTTACTGCATTAACAACCCAATGAGTCTTGCTTCTATCGCTCCATGTCTAGCTTCTCCACCTGCTCTTTGCTCAGCTCTCTCACCACACCCTGTCCTATTGTTCCATCCACCCATCAGTTAAGTGAGGGTGGGGAGGCCCACTCACTTGCCCTATGGCACTGAGCAACCTCTTTTGTTATGCTGAGGAAGGCACTTAAGTGTCAGCCAATAGCATCCTCTATCAGCTTTCAATGCTTATAGGGTATAGCTTGTTTTCTGCTGTTCTGGAAGGTAGGACCCAACTAATGGCTTCAAGTTACAAGAAAGGGGATTCCAACTAAACATCAGGAAGAACTTTCTGAATTATAGTGCCATAGCATGGGAGGTGCACGGGGTGGTTGCCCCAGGGAGAAAATTGCTAGGGGTGCAAAATTTCAGCATCCAGTGCTGCCTCAATACAGCTGTGTGCTTCTGTCGCTGGGCTCTGCTGAGAGCAGCTTCTCCATGCCAAGCAGGAAGTGACCCCTCCAGGCAACAGAATGATTCAACTGTTAGGCAGTTGAATGTGCATGCGTACTCTGTCCATTTCCCTCCAACCAACCCCACCCCCGTGCAGTCCCGGGAACTGGCAATCCACGCTATGCCACTGTTCTCCCCTCCTGAAGTTTCCAGCAACTTTTATGCAGAAGCACACTGTCGCTGACCATGGAAGCAGAGCATCGACATTCAAGGCCAGGAGCCATTGGTAGGCTTCTCTTCCATGAATTTGCCCGATCCTCTTTTGAAACCACCCAATTTTCACATGCATTTTCCAGGGTCTTGAGCCTGAGGCTTCCCACCCCCCATTCCAAAGCAAAAGAAAGCTGGGCAAGTTCTAGACCCTTGAAAATTTACACCATTTGGGGAAGTGGGGAGAGCATAACAATATATTTCTGCCTGCCTGCCTTCCTGTGTACATAGAGGCTCCATCCATTTCTGTCAGTAAGAGCATTTAAAAAGCTTTCCAGTAAACGTAAAATTCCTTCAAGCTTATTTATGTCCCGCCCCCCCCAACAACTTTTCAGTTTCAATGTTTCACTAGCTTAGTTGCTCAGCATCATCCCATCCCACACAGTCCTGGGAATCATAAAGTCTTCCAAGAGACCGAGCATTCAGTAACCCTAGTGCAAGGGACATCAGAGAATTCTTGCAAGTAAAAAATCGAGAGCAGAAATTGCTGGTGCTTATTTATTTTTTCTTTGGAATGGAACACAATCCAGCAAGTACAGTTAGTAATCATATGTTGCTTTCAGTTTGCAAACATGATGTGCCAGGCTGTTTTTCTAGAACTCTTATAATGGCCACGGTGCCCACCTGAGAGGTGCTGGAACTGAGTTCCATTGCGTTCCAGCTGGGAAAAAAGCCCTGATTATGCAATTGATTACTTCCCTCCATCCGCTTTGTGTTTCCTTCGCATTGGAATGGGTGGGGGCTGAATAACACAATGACAACAGAATTTTTATATATTATGTAAATTACATAAGGAACATAATTCCACCACAGTGAACACTGGGACAAATAATATGGTTTGGTTGGTGGAAGACAAACAGCAGTGGAATGGAAGCAGTAGAGCATACAATCATCACAGGGCATGTTGTCTTTAGTTGGTGTCTGAACTTTGAGGTCCTGAATAGACCTGAGAAGCAAAATAGATGGTATGCACCCACCTGACTCGTGCAACATTATTCATTGATATAATATATTGTAATGTAAGTGTAGCACTTAAACTTTTTATTGTCCTTATGTCTGGATGAGCTTCACAGCACAGAGTTTCTTGAGGATACGTTGGCGGATCTGCTTCGTCTTGATACTATACACAACTGGGTTCATCAGAGGAGGTGCCAGCAAATAGACGTAGGACATGAGTATGTGGACGATGTGAGGGGCACGTTCCCCAAAGCGGTGGATCAACGACAGGCCTATCATGGGCACGTAGAAGAGCAGGACAGCACAGATGTGGGAGACGCAAGTGTTGAAGGCCTTGAGGCGCTCTTCTCTGGAGGCAATGCTCAGGACTGTTTTCAGGATGAAGACGTAAGAGAGGAAGATCAGGAGGGAGTCGATTCCCACCGTGAAGGCCACAACGGTCAGCCCATAGATGTGGTTGACGATGATGTCTGAGCAGGCCAGTTTCATGATTTCCAGATGCAAGCAGTAGGAGTGAGAGAGAACATTGGTCCTGCAGTAATGGAAGCGGCGGAGAAGCAGAGGCAGAGGCACAATCAGGGAAAAGCTGCGGAATGCAAAGGCCAGCGCCATTGTCACGATCCTCTGGGTGGTCAAGATGGAGCCATATCTCAGTGGGTTGCAGATGGCCACGAAGCGGTCAAAGGCCATGGACAAGAGCACGGAAGATTCAACGAGGGAGAGGGAGTGAATGAAGAAGAGCTGTGTGAAGCAGGCGCTGAAAGGGATCTCGCGAGCATCAAACCAAAATATGCCCAGCACTGTGGGCAACGTAGTGAGGCACAAGCCCAGGTCAGTCAGGGCCAGCATGGCCAGGAAATAATACATTGGCTCATGCAAGCTTGAGTCTGTTCGGATCACATGGAGGATTGTGCAGTTCCCCAAGATCACCGTCATGTAGATGAAGCAGAAGGGAAGGGAGATCAAGCGATAGGCGTACTCCAGCCCAGGGAAGCCCGTCAAGAGAAATGTGGAGGGGTTGAAGGTTTTGTTCTCCAAATGGGAGATGTTCATTTCACAAGAGAGTCCTACTTCACTTCTGTGCTTTAAAGTCAGTGCCTAGAAAGCAAAACAGTTTTTATTGTAGAATACTAGAGGTGGAAAGATCTTGCTAGAGGTGGTAGATATTTGCAAAACAAATAAATCATTGGCGTACAAATTTACTTGGAGATGTTTTATGTTTTTAGATTGCTTTATGCTTCTTTACATGAAATTATTGCGTTTTTGTGGCCACTTTTCCCCAGCATATTTATTTTCATACATATTACTTGGCGGAAAATTGTACTGAAAGATACCTATGTTTCAGTTCACATATAATTGTACTTTACTTCTTTCTTCTTCTTCTTTTTTATCACTTTTTATCACAACAAATGTAACTGATCTGTAGAAAACACAACCTGAAGAAAGAGTCAATACATGTGCTTTTGTAAGCAAGGAAAATCTTTAACAACAACAACAAACAACACATATAATGTCAAAAAGTGTGGATTCAGAAGGTTTGCCTTTAAATGCAACACTGAGTCAAGTTTCTCCCTCAGCTTTACTTCTGGGGTGCTTGATCATTTCAGGGAACCTAGGTGAGCAGAGCAGAAGTTCAGCTCCCACCACGTACAGGCCTGTGAGATTGGAGATGGTGGCATATGGAAGAAGAGAGCCAGGGAGCCTGGAGGGGGTTGTCTTCTTCTGATAATCTGGAACTTATCTTGCTGTTAACACAGCCCAAGGTGGCATCAACTATTTTTCTCAGTGGAATTGTATATTTATCTATTCATTTCAATTTCAGAGCTACCCATCAATAACTTTTCCCTGGGTGGCTTGCCACAAAACAGAGGTAAAATATAATGGGTGGTATTAATAGTAAAGGTAAAGGGACCCATGACCATTAGGTCCAGTCATAACCGACTCTGGGGTTGCGGCGCTCATCTCGCTTTATTGGCCGAGGGAGCCGGCGTACAGCTTCCGGGTCATGTGGCCAGCAGCGCACGGAAACGCTGTTTACCTTCCCGCCGGAGCGGTACCTATTTATCTACTTGCACTTTGATGTGCTTTCGAATTGCGAGGTTGGCAGGAGCAGGGAACGAGCAACAGGAGCTCACCCCGTCGCAGGGATTTGAACTGCCGACCTTCTGATCGGCAAGTCCTAGGCTCTGTGGTTTAACCCACAGCACCACCCGTGTCCCTATGAAATCAATGAACATGACTAAGCTAGACCCATTCATTTCAATGGCCGTACACTGAGTAAAACTTAGTTGAACACCACCCAAAGTATTCAGGTAGGTAGCCGTGTTGGTCTGACGTCGTCGAAATATAATTTTTTTTAAAAAAAGTCCAGTAGCACTTCAGAAGAGTATCTGAAGTATCTGAAGAAGTATGCATGCACACGAAAGCTTATACCAAGAACAAACTTAGTTGGTTTCTAAGGTGCTACTGGACTATTTATTTATTTATTTATTTGTTTATTTATTTTATATTTCGGCCACCCAAAGTATAATAACCAAAATCAGCAACAAACCACAGAAGACAGCAAAGCATTCCACCTTCCTTTAAGTGGAGACTTCATTATGATGATTCTTATAAAGGATCAGCCCTGCTGAAGCAGCAGCAGCTTTTGATTCCTCCTTGAAATCTTCCCATTCTAGCTGATCGTTGCAAGAATTATGTAACTAAGAAAATGCCTGTTTGCTTTCTTTCCTGCTGCCTCTCCATCTCTCTTCCTTTCGTGTCATGCTGTTTGGTTTGCGTCTCAAAATCTTTAGGTCATCCCGGAATCCTTCCCCCTCCCCCTGCAAAGAGCAGGATAAAAATGCTTTGAAAAAAATACAAATTAGGAGGCCAGGAGGCAGATTTGAGAAAAAAATCTGTTCGAGATCCCTCAGAGCTGCTGCTGATCAAAACACAGATACTGAATTGGATGAGCCAGCAGTTCAACCACCAAAAGCAGCTTCACCTTCAAACTTCTTCTAATCAGGGATGGAAGTAGAATGATGAGATGCTGTCACTGTGAAGCACAGAGACTCCTTCTCTGGAGATCACTGGTAGCCGAGTAAGATTGTCTTTCATAAACAGTTTTAACAATGAGTCCTCAAGTGACTGTGGGGGCCAATTTTACTGCACAAGCCCCGTTGAATTGAGAGCTCTTTAGCGGGCAATGCCTACATGTCTTGAAATCATTGTATCCTAGAACTAGAAGGGATCTCCAGGGCCATATAGCCTAAATGTTGGAGAAATTTAAAAAGAGTTTGACCTAGTTGGGGTTCCCTAACGGAACACCAAACAGACACAGGGGGAAAAGGTGTTTATTAACACAAAATCAGAGGCAGCTTACCAAGGTCTGGTGATAAAGGGAGCAGCTGGCACAGATTCTCTCCTAGACAGATGGTTGGGAGTGAGAGTGAGGTTGTGGGTCTGTGTGCAGAAGCCTCCTTTGTAGAACTGGCAAGGAATCCCTTTGAGACAACACAGCTTGAAAAAGGGCAAGGCTCCTGGTGCCGATGTACAAGGACTTAGGGAATATTGTTGCTTAAGTATCCAGAACTAAAAACACAGCTGGTATTGCAAGTATCGAAGGGAAAACACAACTGTGTTCTGTTCCCAAACAAACCCCACTGAGACCTGGGTTCAAGTCCACCCTCTGTCACGGATTCAGCATGTGGCCTTGGGCAGATCTAACCAGTGCTGTTTTTCTTTTAAAAAAATAAGTTTAGGGGTACTCTCATTTTGACACAAGAAAATCACCATTTTATAGTTCAAATCAGGAAAAATAAATACAGTAAATGGACAAAAGTACAAAGATTCACAAAATGTTTAGGGGTGTGCGTAACCCCAGAAAAAAGCACTGTGGAGGCGATAGGGTGGAAATCTTGGGGGGTTTCACTGTAGAAAGAGCCTTGTTCCATCCCAATTCCCATGGCATCCAAACTGCCCAGACCTGGAGCATCTCTTCCAAGTTTACAGAGTCAGGGGGACTGTGGAGAGCGGACCCCAATCCCACCTCCAGGCTTAGGATTCTTTATCATTCTACATATCCAGCAGACTTGAGAAGAGTGGAACAGAAGGTAGCTTGAAAGAGACAACAGCTTCACAGCTAGAGGGAATTCACAGAGAATCCTGTAATGGGCAGAGCAGGAATACCAGATAGGTGGGTTGGCAGGCAGAGAATAAAACAGTGTGATACCTGTATGCATTAGAATCATAGAATCATCGAATCATAGAGTTGGAAGAGACCACAAGGGCCATCGAGTCCAACCCCCTGCCAAGCAGGAAACACCATCATAGCACTCCTGACATATGGTTGCCAAGCCTCTGCTTAATGACCTCCAAAGAAGGAGACTCCACCACACTCCTTGGCAGCAAATTCTACTGTCGAACAGCTCTTACTGTCAGGAAGTTCTTCCTAATGTTTAGGTGGAATCTTCTTTCTTGTAGTTTGGATCCATTGCTCCGTGTCCGCTTCTCTGGAGCAGCAGAAAACAACCTTTCTCCCTCCTCTATGTGACATCCTTTTATATATTTGAACATGGCTATCATATCACCCCTTAACCTCCTCTTCTCCAGGCTAAACATGCCCAGCTCCCTTAGCCGTTCCTCATAAGGCATCGTTTCCAGGCCTTTGACCATTTTGGTTGCCCTCCTCTGGACAAGTTCCAGTTTGTCAGTGTCCTTCTTGAACTGTGGTGTCCAGAACTGGACACAGTACTCCAGGTGAGGTCTGACCAGAGCAGAATACAGTGGCACTATTACTTCCCTTGATCTAGATGCTATACTCCTATTGATGCAGCCCAGAATTGCATTGGCTTTTTTAGCTGCCGCGTCACACTGTTGGCTCATGTCAAGTTTGTGGTCAACCAAGACTCCTAGATCCTTTTCACATGTACTGCTCTCAAGCCAGGTGTCCCCATCTTGTATTTGTGCCTCTCATTTTTTTGCCCAAGTGCAATACTTTACATTTCTCCCTGTTAAAATTCATCTTGTTTGTTTTGGCCCAGTTCTCTAATCTGTCAAGGTCGTTTTGAAGTGTGATCCTGTCCTCTGGGGTGTTAGCCACCCCTCCCAGTTTGGTGTCATCTGCAAATTTGATCAGGATGCCCTTGAGTCCATCATCCAAGTCGTTGATAAAGATGTTGAATAAGACTGGGCCCAAGACAGAACCCTGTGGCACCCCACTAGTCACTCTTCTCCAGGATGAAGAGGAACCATTGATGAGCACCCTTTGGGTTCGGTCAGTCAGCCAGTTACAAATCCACTGAGTGGTAGCATAGTCAAGACCGCATTTTACCAGCTTCTTTACAAGAATATCATGGGGCACCTTGTCAAATGCCTTGCTGAAATCAAGGTAGGCTACATCCACTGCGTTCCCTTCATCTACCAGGCTTGTAATTCTGTCAAAAACGAGATCAGGTTAGTCTGACATGACTTATTTTTCAGAAATCCATGCTGACTATTGGTGATCACAGCATTCCTTTCTAGGTGCTCACAGACTGTTTGCTTAATGATCTGCTCCAGAATCTTCCCTGGTATTGATGTCAGACTGACTGGGCGGTAATTATTTGGGTCCTCTCTTTTCCCCTTTTTGAAAATAGGGACAACATTTGCCCTCCTCCAGTCTGCCGGGACTTCGCCTGTTCTCCAGGAATTCTCAAAGATGACTGCCAGTGGTTCTGAGATCACATCTGCCAGTTCTTTTAATACTCTTGGATGCAGTTCATCTGGCCCTGGAGACTTGAATACATCTAAACTAGCCAAGTATTCTTGTACTATCTCCTTAGTTATTCTGGGCTGTGTTTCCTCTGCTGAATCATTCGCTTCAAATTCTTCAGGTCGGGCATTGTTTTCTTTATCGGAGAAGACTGAGGCAAAGAAGGCATTGAGGAGTTCAGCCCTTTCTGTGTCCCCTGTTTGCATTTCACCATCTTCTCCTCTGAGTGACCCCACTGTTTCTTTGTTCTTCCTTTTGCTACGAACATACCCATAAAAGCCTTTTTTGTTGCTTTTAACCTCTCTAGCAAGCCTGAGTTCATTCTGTGCTTTAGCATTTCTGACTTTGTGTCTATACGTGCTGGCTATTTGTTTGAATTCTTCTTTGGTGGTTTCCCCCCTTTTCCATTTTTTGTACACATCCTTTTTTAATCTTAACTAAGTTAAAAGTTCTTTAGATAGCCACCCTGGCTTCTTTAGGCACCTTCCATGTTTCCGTCTCATTGGTATTGCCTGAAGTTGTGCTTTTACTATCTCCCTCTTAACAAACTCCCAGCCATCATGAACTCCCTTTCCTTTTAGTATTACTGTCCATGGGATCTCACCCAGCACTTCCCTAAGTTTTATGAAGTCGGCTTTCTTAAAGTCAAGAAATTGAGTCCTAGTATGCTTGGCTGCTCCTTTCCGCTGTATAGTAAACTTCAGAAGAGCATGATCACTCGCGCCTAATGATCCTTCCACTTCTACCCCACTAACCAGGTCATCAACATTGGTTAGGACCAGATCTAAAATGGCTGTTCCTCTTGTTGCTTCTCCCACTTACTGGACAATGAAGTTGTCTGCAAGGCCAGTGAGGAATCTGTTTGACCTTATGCTCTTGGCTGAGTTTGACATCCAACAAATATCCGGGTAATTGAAGTCCCCCATTACTACTATCTCCCTTCCTTTTGCATGCTTGGCCATCTGTTCCAGGAAGGCATCATCTATGTCCTCCGTTTGGCTTGGGGATCTATGGTAAACTCCCACAATGAGGTCACTGTTATTCTTCTCTCCCTTAATTTTGACCCAAATGCACTCACTTTGGCTTTGAGGTTCTAAATCTTGGATCTCTTCACAGGTATACACATCCCTGACATATAACGCCACACCTCCTCCTTTCTTAGAATCATAGAATCATAGAATCATAGAGTTGGAAGAGACCACAAGGGCCATTGAGTCCAACCCCCTGCCAAGCAGGAAACACCATCAGAGCACTCCTGACATATGGTTGTCAAGCCTCTGCTTAAAGACCTCCAAAGAAGGAGACTCCACCACACTCCTTGGCAGCAAATTCCACTGTCAAACAGCTCTTACTGTCAGGAAGTTCTTCCTAATGTTTAGGTGGAATCTTCTTTCTTGTAGTTTGGATCCATTGCTCCGTGTCCGCTTCTCTGGAGCAGCAGAAAACAAACTTTCTCCCTCCTCTATGTGACATCCTTTTATATATTTGAACATGGCTATCATATCACCCCTTAACCTCCTCTTCTCCAGGCTAAACATGCCCAGCTCTCTTAGCCGTTCCTCATAAGGCATCGTTTCCAGGCCTTTGACCATTTTGGTTGCCCTCCTCTGGACACGTTCCAGTTTGTCAGTGTCCTTCTTGAACTGTGGTGCCCAGAACTGGACACAGTACTCCAGGTGAGGTCTGACCAGAGCAGAATACAGTGGCACTATTACTTCCCTTGATCTAGATGCTATACTCCTATTGATGCAGCCCAGAATTGCATTGGCTTTTTAGCTGCCGCGTCACACTGTTGGCTCATGTCAAGTTTGTGGTCAACCAAGACTCCTAGATCCTTTTCACATGTACTGCTCTCAAGCCAGGTGTCCCCCATCTTGTATTTGTGCCTCTCATTTTTTTGCCCAAGTGCAATACTTTACATTTCTCCCTGTTAAAATTCATCTTGTTTGTTTTGGCCCAGTTCTCTAATCTGTCAAGGTCGTTTTGAAGTGTGATCCTGTCCTCTGGGGTGTTAGCCACCCCTCCCAATTTGGTGTCATCTGCAAATTTGATCAGGATGCCCTTGAGTCCATCATCCAAGTCGTTGATAAAGATGTTGAATAAGACCAGGCCCAAGACAGAACCCTGTGGCACCCTCTTGTCTGGTCTGTTTCTCTGAAATAGATTGTATCCCCACATTATTACATGCCAATCGTGGGACTTATCCCACCAGGTTTCAGTGATGCCTATTATGTCTTATTTAGTTTGCTGTACCAAGAGCTCAAGCTCATCTTGTTTATTTCCCATGCTTTGCGCATTGGTGTACAGACATTGAAGTCCATTAATCATCCCCCGTGTCTCTTATTTAAGGATTTTTCCTCCCACCACTAGGTCTGCGTGCTGTTTGCTCCATTTGGTCTATGACATTTGGATGATCATCTTCATCAATTGATAGACTCCTACCTTCAGGAGCACTGTCTCCCTCCCCCCATTAGTCAGTTTAAAGCCCTCCTGATGAGGTTTCTGAGATTTTTTTGGCAAAAACATTCCTCCCAACCGTTGTGAGGTGCAGCCCATCGCTTGCCAGAAGTCCATCTTCAAGAAACTGCAGTCCGTGATCTAAGAATCCAAACCGTTCCTGTTTACACCATTTGCAAAGCCAGCTGTTCACTTCCACTATTTTCCCTCTCTCCCTGGGCCACGTCGTTCAACTGGGAGGACAGATGAGATGACAATTTGTGCATTTAATTGCTTCAATTTCCTGCCCAGAGCCTCGTAGTCTCTTTTGATCTTCTGGAGGCTATTGCTTGCAGTGTCATTGGTTCCCACATGAACCAAGAGGAGGGGGTATTTGTCAGTGGGTTTTATGATTCCTTGCAGTCGTTCAGTTACATCTTGGATCTTAGCCCCGGGGAGACAGCACACTTCCCGAGACATCTTGTCAGGCCCAAACTTTACTGTTGATGAATACGTCTCATGATAGTCCTGATTAGGTATTTGAGAAAAACCTTGTGCCACTAGTCTGGCTTTGTATCTGACTATTTTTCCATTCCGATCAGTTTTTGTCTTGTAGACCCACCTACTATCAACACACTTCATGCCTAGTTCTTCTGGAACCAATTCCCAAGTATCATTCTGCTTTAGGGAATTCAACTCGGCTTTCATGGCGTCCAGCCAAGGTTCAGCATCCTTTGCGGACAGTTTTTGAACCTCTTTGTAGCTGGCTGTTTCAAGAACCGCACCAGAGTTGCTAGTAACAGCAGCTTTAGCAAACTCTTTGGCGAACTGTGTAGGTGGAATGGCCTTTGTAGTTCTTTTAGATCTACGCAAAACTCTCTGATCCTCTGGGTCTGGTGTCTCCTCCTCCTTGGGAGAATGATGGCCTAAAGTAAATGAAGGTGCTGTGTCTGAATCAGTGTCAGACTCATCTGAGGCTTTGGGGCTTTGATAATCTGTGTCATCATCAGAATCTACCGTATTTTTTGCACCATAACACTCACTTTTTTCCTCCTAAAAAGTAAGGGGAACTGTCTGTGCATGTTATGGAGGGAATGCCTACGGGTGGTATGCCTACGGATTTTCCTCCTCTAAAAACTACTTGCGTGTTATGGTCGGATGCGTGTTATAGAGCAAAAAATACGGTATGTTGGCATCAGCATTATCATCAGCAACAACAGAATCTTGCCTCTTAACTGCTTTTGCACCATCATCATCTGAAATGGGATTACATTGAAAAATGCCAACTCTGTTCCATTTTGATTACAATCTATGCTTCTGGTCAACCTAATCGCTTTTGTGTCAGTGATTAACACACGATAGGAACCCTTTTCATATCCCAGAAAAATACCATGTTCACCACGTTTGCTCAATTTGTTGTCCTGCAAAGCGTGCACCCATACCTCTGAACCAAAAATTTTGAAATGTTTTGCGTATGGCTTCCTTTTGTAAAGCATTTCATATGGGGTGCAATCAATATCTACGATTGTACACATAAGAAAAACAGGAAAGAGCCTCGGCCCAAAAGGGATTGGGCAGGCCCGAATCTTGCAACAGAGTTCTTATACTTTGTTGCAAGGTTTGGATCACTCGTTCACACAAACCATTATGCCAAGGAGATCTGGGCATGGCATGATAATAAATAAGGATATTGACAAGCTGGAACATGTGCAAAGAAAAGTGATTTATTTATTTATTTAATTTGTATACCATTCGACCCAGTGGTACCAACTGGAATAAAATATTGGGGGGGGGCATGTAAGGCCCGCCTTGCACAATCAATGACATGATGCATGTGCGCCATTGGAATGTCAATGTGTACCAACTGAGGGGTGACCCCCTCAAATATTTTAATGGGGGGGCAAAGAACCCTAGGCCTCTAAGAGAAGGCTCCTATTCTCTACACCCACAAGTCTCAGGACAGTTACAACATAAAAGTACAATAAAAAAATAGAAAATAAACATCTGTAACCCCCCTCCCCGCCACATTTTTAAAGGGCATTAGATGTCAATCAGCCAATAATAATAATAATAATAAATTTTATTTATATCCCGCCCTCCCCAGCCAAAGCCAGGCTCAGGGCGGCTAACAACAAACAAATAATCAAACAATCAAATAATCCAACATTCTAAAACATTTCATTATAAAAATTAATTAAAATCAAATTAATGGCAACCGTTAAGCAAAGTTCTGTGCAGGTTGCCGGAGGTGGGAGTCAGGCTGGGCCCTGACCAAAGGCCTGGTGGAACAACTCTGTCTTGCAGGCCTTGCGGAAAGATGTCAGGTCCCGCAGGGCCCTAGTCTCTTGTGACAGAGCGTTCCACCAGATTGGAGCCGCAGCCGAGAAAGCCCTGGCTCTAGTTGAGGCCAGCCTAACCTCTCTGAGGCCTGGGACCTTCAGGATGTTTTTATTTGCAGACCGTAGGTTCCTCTGTGGGGCATACCAGGAGAGGCGGTCCCGTAGGTACGAGGGTCCTAGGCCGTATAGGGCTTTAAAGGTTAAAACCAGCACCTTAAACCTGATCCTGTACTCCACCGGGAGCCAGTGCAGCTGGTATAGTACCGGATGAATGTGATCTCGCAGCGAAGACCCCATAAGGAGTCTCGCCGCGGCATTCTGCACCCGCTGGAGTTTCTGGGTCAGTCTCAAGGGCAGCCCCACGTAGAGCGAGTTACAATAATCCAGTCTGGAGGTGACCGTCGCATGGATCACAGTGGCTAGGTCAGGGCGAGAGAGATAAGGGGCCAACTGCTTAGCTTGGCGGAGATGAAAAATGCCGCCTTTGTTATAGCTGTAATCTGCGCCTCCATAGAGAGGGAGGTATCGAAGATTACACCCAAACTCTTAACGGACGGTGCTGGCACTAATTGCACCCCGCAAGAGATGGGAGTTGCCCCCAATCCCATATCGTCCCGTCCCAGCCAGAGGACCTCTGTCTTCGAAGGATTTAACTTCAACCGGCTTCCGCGTAACCATCCAGCCACAGCTTCCAAACATCTGGTCAGTGTGTCTGGGGCCGAGTCAGGATGGCCATCCATCAACAGATAGAGTTGGGTGTCATCGGCATACTGATGGCAACCCAGCCCAAAACTCCGGACAAGCTGGGCGAGGGGCGCATAAAGATGTTAAAAGCATCGGGGAGAGTATCGCACCCTGAGGCACTCCACACACCAAGGAGTGGCGGGATGACAATTCCCCCAAGCGCCACCCTCTGTCCCCGACCGGAGAGAAACGAGCGCAGCCATTGAAGGACTGTGCCCTGGATCCCCACGTCGGCAAGGCGGTGGTCCAGGAGTTCGTGATCAACCATGTCGAAGGCTGCTGACAGGTCTAGAAGAATCAGCAGCCCCGACCCGCCTCGATCCAGCTGCCTGCGGAGATCATCTGTTAGGGCGACCAGAGCCGTCTCGGTCCCATGACCAGCGCGGAAGCCAGACTGGAATGGATCCAAAAGCCTGGTTGAAAAGCTGTTTATTTGCCTGGCTCCGAAAGCTGTATAATGAAGGGTCTTTCTGACGTTTGAATGAATTCTTTGATGGTAAGTGAGACTGTGGCTGTGACTAAAGCTCTTTCCACATTCCACACACTGATAAGCGTTTCTCCCCTGTATGAATTCTCTGATGGGAAGTGAGAGAGGAGCTCTTCCTGAAGCTCTTTCCACATTCCGCACACTGATAGGGTTTCTCCCCTGTATGAATTCTTCGATGGGAAGTGAAAGAGGAGCTATAAATGAAGCTCTTTCCACATTCCGCACACTGATAGGGTTTCTCCCCTGTATGAATTATTTGATGGGAAGAAAGATGGGAGCCCTGACAGAAGCTCTTTCCACATTCCACACACTGATAGGGTTTCTCCCCTGTATGAATTCTTTGATGGGAAGTGAGATCGGAGTTCCTCCTGTAGCTCTTTCCACATTCCACACACTGATAGGGTTTCTCCCCTGTATGAATTCTTTGATGGGAAGTGAGATGGTGGCTGTTACTGAAGCTCCTTCCACATTCCACACACTGATAGGGTTTCTCCCCAGTATGAATTCTTTGATGGGATGTGAGAGAGCTGCTCTGCCTGAATCTCTTTCCACATTCCACACACTGATAGGGTTTCTCCCCTGTATGAATTCTTTGATGGGAAGTGAGATCAGAGCTAATCCTGAAGCTCTTTCCACATTCCACGCACTGATAGGGTTTCTCCCCAGTATGAATTCTTTGATGGGATGTGAGACTGCGGCTGTGACTGAAGCTCTTTCCACATTCCAGACACTGATAGGGTTTCTCCCCTGTATGAATTCTTTGATGGAAAGTGAGACTGTGGCTGTGAGTGAAGCTCTTTCCACATTCCACACACTGATAGGGTTTCTCCCCTGTATGAATTCTCTGATGGCGAGTGAGACTGCTGCTGTGACTGAAGCTCTTTCCACATTCCACACACTGATAGGGTTTCTCCCCTGTATGAATTCTCTGATGGGAAGTGAGAGAGGAGCTGTTACTGAAGCTCTTTTCACATTCCACACACTGATAGGGTTTCTCCCCTGTATGAATTCTTTGATGGGAAGTGAGATTGTGGCTGTGACTGAAGCTCTTTCCACATTCCACACACTGATAGGGTTTCTCCCCAGTATGAATTCTTTGATGGGATGTGAGAGAGCTGCTCTGCCTGAATCTCTTTCCACATTCCGCACACTGATAGGGTTTCTCCCCTGTATGAATTCTTTGATGAGAAGTGAGAGAGAAGCTCTGACTGAAGCTTTTTCCACATTCCATGCACTGATAGAGTTTCTTTCCAAGGATATTTTGTTGATGGGAAGTGGAATGGGAACTCTGACTGCAGCTTTCTCCACACTCCAAATTTTTACATGGCCTCTCCTCTCTGGGAATATTGTTGTGGTCACCTTCATTCTCGATTTCTGATTCATCACAATCTGCAATGGAGACAAAAGGGATTAGAGCCTCAGGAACAAATGGGGAAGAACGGAAAGGAGTTGGGTGTGTGTTCATTACATGTTTTGTTTGTCATCAACAAACATATTTATTATGAGATTCTGTTCAGTTGCTGAATGTTGCTTTGTTTGATATACAGTAGTGGTCAAAATTGTGGAAGATTTTTGTAAAAAATGTATTTCAGAGGTTTGATTGCTCATAACACCACTTCTTTTGGAGTAATATCATACAATTATATAGCAACGTAAAGATAATTTAATCAAGAATGCAATTCAACAAAGTTTGTTCAATTACCCATATTCTATCTAAAGCTATAGCCAAATAACCAGAAAAAGGAAGCACAACTTGCTTAGGTTGACTTTGTCAGTGTCTTGTGTGATTGCTATCAAGTTGGTTGGGGGTTTTTTTTTGTTCTTGTAAAACATAATAAAATTATAGAAATGGCACAAAGAGTTGACTGGTCACCCAGAAAGTGATGTAAAATTGTACTGTTAAGTGAACAAGGCTACAGTTATGAAGAAATTGATGAAAGATTAGGAAAAACTTAACCAAAGCAGGCATTTCTATATTTTTGAAGAGGTATAAGGAGACTCAGTCACTACAAAATCAGACTGGTAAAGGCAGGGAAAGGTGCACAAAGGCAAGTGACGATCGAAGAATGGAGAGACTGTGCCTACATGACAGAAGAAAATCATCTGGGTGTATACAAGATGACATGGCACAATGTAATGTGAAGTTGAGTGCAAGGACTGGTCTAAATGCTAGAATTCTAAGGAAAAAGACATTAGTATCTCTCAAGCAAAGGTTGAAAAGATTAAACCCATGTTAACTGGACAGCGGAACAATGGAACAGTGTTATTTGGAGTGATGAGACCCAAATCTCCTTGCTTGGTAGTGATGGTATGACATACGCGAGGAGAAGAATCAGAGAAGATTTATATCCTACTTGCATTACACCAACCGTGAAACACCCAGATACAGTGGAACCTCGACTTACGCATGGCTGTACTTATGTGCGATTCCAGTTATGAACTTCAGTAGGCGCTTCAACTTATGAACTTTCCTCTATATACGGCGGTCTTGCCAGCAGCCGGGAGCTCGCCCGGCTGGCTGTGGGGCAGCGCTGAGGCCTCTGATGCCGGGGAGAGGGCCCCCATCCTACCCCCGAAGCTGTGGAAAAGGTGTCGCCTGCCTGCAAGAGACACAGGAGGGAGCACTGCAGCCCCAAACCCCACCGAAGAACCAACCTGAGGAAGTCTAGAGAAGAACCTGGCCTGGCAAGAAAAAAGCATGACCCTGGCCGAAGTGAATTAGCTCTTTACTGACCCTTGCCCCGCCCCTAGCTTGTAGCCAGGTAAGCCCACCTATCCACAGTGCACGTAAGAAGAAAAACGTTAATGTTTTTCATCTACAATACTGTCTTATTTACTTTATAGTACAGTACATTGATTATTGCCTTCATTTTATCGATCTATAGTCTTGTTAGAGAGTAAAATCCATGTTAAATTGCTGTTTTGGGGGTGTTTTTCATTGTCTAGAATGGATCAATTCACTTTTCCATTACTTTCTATGGAAAAGGGATCCTCTACTTATGTACGTTTCTAGTTATGACCGGACCTCCAGAATGGATTATGGTTGTAAGTAGAGCTTCCACTGTAGTGTGATGATCTGGGGTTGTATAGCAGCAAAAGGTGTGGGCAGAATTTTCATCATTAATGGGAATGTAAATGCCCCAAAATGCATAAAAGACTTTTGAATCGGCCAATAAATGTGGCAAATTGTTGGCATGGCAAATGAAAAAGAGACAAAAATTAAATACGATTACGAATCTAGAAGTGGAAGGAAGGAATATACAGAACCCTGCGGAGATTAGAAGTTGTTTCCAGAAGTATTTTAAAAGACTATATACTCAAGGGCCAGTGAAAGAAACAGATTTAGACCAATTTTTGAAAACAAATGGACTACAAAAAATATCTCAAGAAAATAGACTAATTTTGAATGACAGAATAACTGAACAGAAAATAGAAGGTGCCATTCAAAATATGCAACTGGGTAAATCTCCAGGACCAGATGGCTTGACCTCTAGATACTACAGATCTTTAAAAGAATGGTTAATTCAACCTTTGAAAGAGGTCTGCAATGAAATAATGGAGGGGAAGAGGGCACCAGAGTCGTGGAAAGAAGCATATATTACACTTGTACCAAAAACAGAGACTGAAAAGACACAACTTAAGAACTACCGCCCTATATCATTACTTAATGTGGATTATAAAATTTTTGCAGATATTTTGGCGAAGAGATTTTAAAAAGTGTTGATGGAAGAGATTCACAAAGACCAAGCGGGCTTTCTCCCAGGAAGACACTTGTCTGACAATTTGAGGAATATAATTGATATCTTGGAAAAATTAGAAGTGAATATAAACACTAAAGCAGTGTTGATATTTGTAGACGCGGAGAAAGCCTTTGACAATATTTCTTGGAATTTTATGAAGAAGAATCTACAGGGTATGGGGGTAGGCCAAGGTTTTGAGAATGGTATAAGTGCAATTTATTCAGAACAAAAGGCTAAACTAATTGTAAATAATGTTGTGACGGAAGAACTTAAAATTGAAAAAGGGACACGACAAGGTTGCCCAATTTCCCCACTTCTTTTTATTTCGGTCCTGGAAGTTTTGCTGAATATGATTAGAAGGGACCAGATGGTTAAAGGTATACAGGTCGGAACTAAACACTATAAATTGAGAGCATTTGCAGATGACTTAGTATTGACGTTACAGGAGCCAGAGTCTAGTACTAAAAGGGTTTTAGAACTGATTCAAGAATTTGCTCAAGTGGCAGGATTTAAATTGAACAAGTTAAAAACTAAGGTTCTAGAGAAAAATTTAACACCGTTTGAAAGAGAGAGGTTTCAGAATGAGACAGGTTTAACAGTGGTTAAGAAAGTTAAATACCTGGGGATTAACATGACAGCAAAAAATGGGAATTTATTTAAAGATAACTATGAAAAATGTTGGTCAGAAGTGAAAAAAGATTTAGAAACCTGGTCAAATTTGAAGCTTTCACTGCTAGGCCGTATTGCTACGATAAAAATGAATGTATTGCCTAGAATGTTGTTTTTGTTTCAAACTTTGCAGATCGTGGACAAAATGGATTGTTTCAAGAGGTGGCAGAAAGATATTTCTAAATTTGTCTGGCAGGGCAAGAAACCCAGAATAAAATTTAAAATATTAACGGATGCAAAGGAAAGAGGTGGATTTGCCCTGCCAGATCTTAAACTTTACTATGAATCAGCAGCTTTTTGCTGGTTGAAAGAATGGCTACTTCTTGAAAACACTGACATTTTGGACCTAGAAGGTTTTAATAATGTATTTGGATGGCATGCATATCTATGGTATGATAAGGTCAAAGCACATAAAGCATTTAAAAACCACATTGTCAGGAAAGCGCTGTTTAATGTTTGGATAAGATATAAGGATTTGTTAGAAAACAAAACCCCAAGATGGCTGTCACCAATGGAAGCGAAAGCCTTGAAAAAGGTCAATATGGAGGTCAAATGGCCGAAATATTGGGAGATTTTGGAACAAGACGGAGATAGACTGAAATTGCAGAGTTTTGAAAAACTAAAAAACAAAGTGCGAGACTGGCTTCATTATTATCAGATAATGGAGGTATTTAAATTGGACAGGAAAATTGGCTTCCAGGTGGAAAGATCCAAATTAGAAACAGAATTGTTAGAACCCAAGACTAAGAATGTGTCAAGAATGTATAACTTGCTGCTGAAATGGAATACTCAAGATGAAACGGTAAAATCGGCTATGATTAAATGGGCACAGGACGTTGGACATAACATTATGTTTGCTGACTGGGAACAGTTATGGACCACAGGTATGAAATTTACGGCATGTAATGCCTTAAGAGAGAATATTATGAAAATGATATACAGGTGGTACATAACCCCAGTCAAGCTTGCGAAAATCTATCACTTGCCCGATAACAAATGTTGGAAATGTAAAGAAACTGAAGGTACATTTTTCACCTTTGGTGGACGTGCCCAAAGATTAAGGCTTTCTGGGAAATGATATATAATGAATTAAAAAGGTATTTAAGTATACCTTCCCTAAGAAACCAGAGGCCTTTCTCCTGGGCATAGTCGACCAAATGGTGTTAAAAAGGATAGAACTTTCTTTATGTATGCAACAACAGCAGCAAGAATACTCATCGCAAAGTATTGGAAGACACAAGAACTTCCCACGCTGGAGGAATGGCAGATGAAACTTATGGACTATATGGAATTGGCGGAAATGACTGGTAGAATCCGTGACCAGGGAGAAGAGTCGATGGAGGAAGACTGGAAGAAATTCAAAGACTATCTTCAGAAACACTGCAAAATTAAGGAATGTTAGAGCGATGTTGGACTGAAAGCAAGTGATTTCCAGCTGCACAGGTTAAAGTTAATGATAGACTAAGATTAAAGATCAAGATTAAAGATGTTTAAAGAAATGGAAATTTGATATTAAAAGGGAAAACTTTAAAACTATATGATATTAAGATTAAGGATTAGGTTTTAAAAAAAAATGTTGAAGTTATATATTTTAACATTTTATTAAATTAAAGATTGGGATTAAAAAAGTGGAAAAGAAACTGCAGGACAAATAATGTGGATTGGAATACGAAAGAGGGAGGTATGAGGAAGTCCAGAAAATAAGTAATTTAAAATTGGAAATTGAAAAGAGAGTTTGTTTTTAATTGTTATGTTTTGTGTTTTTATCGTTAAGTTTTGTATTGTTTTTTGTGTGTGTTGTTTTTCTTCTTTTTTGTTGTTTAAAACTTTAATAAAAAATTAATAAAAAACAAACAAAACAAAATGCATAAATGAAATACTTTAGCCCAAACTGAAGCGTTCCACAAGTGATCTTTTCCCAGATACTGAAGCATTTAGATATCTTTATATCTTTATTTATTTATTTTCTATTTCAACAGGATTCAGCTCCATGTCATGTTGCTGCTGTGTGCAAAAGGTGCTAATCCTATTCCACTGCCGGAATGTCCTGGGAGTAGCCCAAACATTAATCCAATCAGAAATCTATGGAGCCGACTAAAGAAACTTGTTAGTCAGAAGCAACCCAGCAATAAAGCACAATTAATAGAGGCAATAATTCAGTCTTGGTTTCACATTACAGTTACAGACGCTTCAGGTTACAGACTCCGCTAACCCAGAAATATTACCTCGGGTTAAGAACTTTGCTTCAGGATGAGAACAGAAATCGTGCTCTGGCGGCATGGCAGCAGCAGCAGGCCCCATTAGCTAAAGTGGTGCTTCATGATAAGAGCAGTTTCAGCTTAAGAACGGACCTCCGGAACGAATTAAGTACGTAACCAGAGGTACCACATTACAGCTGCAGAACTAAAAACTTGGTTCACTTCATGGGAAGGTGTTGTAAGGCCGTAATTAACGCTAAAGGTTACCAATGGTTTCAAATTTTTTCTTTATGACTGCTGTTCTAATAAATACTCCCTCATAAAATTTCTTGCATTACATTCTTCATTAAATTATCTTTCCATTGGGATATAATTTTATGGTATTACTCCACACAAAAGTGGTGTTATCAGCCACCAAACCTCGGAAATACAGTTTTCATAAAAGGTTTCCACAATTTTGGCCACTAGTATAAGTTGTCCATTTTAAAGTTAATGTTCTTTTTATATGGGATCAGATTATTATTATTTGGATCAGATTATTATTATTTATGTTTCATGTTTATATATGTGTTGTGCCCAGAGTGGCTGGGGCAACCAAGCCAGATGGGCAGGGTATAAATAAAAATTATTATTCAGAATCCAAGACCAGAGAGAAGAGTCGGTGAAAGAAAACTGGAAGAAATTTAAAGACTATTTACAGAAATATTGTAAAATTAAGGAATCTTAGAAGGATGTTGGATAGAAACTAAGAGGTTTTTAGCTGTAATGCTTTAAGAGATATGAAAAAAGGTTTACAACTGGGTAATTTTAATGGTAAGGATTTGCTGAACTAACAAATTGAACTGGAATACAAAAAAGGGAGGTATGAGGAGGTCCGGGGAAATAAGTATAGGGAAGATAGGTTATGGAAAATTAATGTCTTTTTAACTGTTTTATTTGGTATGTTTCTTTTTATTTTTTACTTTTTTGGTTATATTTTAAAAAACTTTATTCTTTTTCTTTCTGTATTCTGTGTTTTTTGAAACTTTAATAAATATCATTTTCAAAAAAATAAAATAAATAAAAATTATTATTATTACTACAGTGGTACCTCGATTTAAGAACAGTACTGTTCTGGAAAAGATTAAGTTTGTAAACTGAGGTACCACTGTATTACTATCATCATCATCATCATCATCCTCATCACTGCTAGTACTACCTGAGATTCCATAAGCCTTGCTCTTCTCTGGGATGAATTCTATTTGGCCCAGTCATGGCATCCCCTCCATCTCCAATGTCAGTCGTTGTTATGGCTTGGTCTTTCCCACAAACGTGAGATGACACTGGCTGCTAATTATTTCAGATTTATTGCTAAAACAACGAACTTGCACAGAGCTCCTCTACTCATCGTCCTCCCCACAAGATGGCATTGCCCGGACTGAGCTCCTCCCCCTTCCCCACCTTCTCTTCCAGTATCTTTCGCCTGTCTCCGCCACTTTTCAGATCCTACGAGATTTGGCAGAGAATGCTTCCTGCATTCCAACGTCTGACTCACTCCTGTAGCTCTCACACAGCTGTCTGTCACTCTGTCTCTCTTTTTCTTCTCCCCCTTGTTCAGAGCTCAGATGACAGTTCCTCTCCCCCTCCTCTCTGCCTTCCGCTGCTAACTCTCCTCTCCCTAGGCCTGCTTCTTCTCTGGCTGGCAGCACGTGAGCTTTGCTGCCAGTCGTCTCTTTGGTCAACCCAAGACTGACAGGAGCAAAAACAAAAACCTGAAGCTACTTATCTTTCCTAACAATTCTGAAGCTGATATTTAAGATGGCTTGAGCAGTTCAGACCAGTCCAATCGCGGTAGAAAAAGGAATAATTTGAGGAAGATTGTTCAAAGAAAAAACTGTAAGTTACAGTTTATTGTGGGGGTGTTAGGTTCCCAGGTGTCATAGGGACCACAGTTGAGCTCTGTGAAAATATATGAGGTTTGTCACGTAGAGGTATGTTTTGAATTTCCAGGCAGACAGGACAATCCCACAGGGAGCCTTACCAAGAGAGGCCACGATCCCACGATTCTCCTCCATGACGTCCTTATGCAGAGCTCTCTGGTCAGGATCCAGCAACGCCCACTCCTCGCCTGTGAAACGAACAGTGACATCTTCAAAGCACACTGGACCCTAAAAGAAAAAGGGAAATGTCCTCCTCTGAGACAGCAGAAATATGATCTGCTGCACAATGCTCTGTTGTTTCCTTCCTGTTAATTGTGGTGTTGTTTCAATAGGATTGCTTTGCTGCACATTTTAATTATGGGTGCTTCTTTTATTCTGCATTTTAACTATGGTTGTTCATCTTTGTGCAAATAGGTGGTACTCCACCTTGCATTTTCCAAGTCATTCTGCCTACGCAAGCATTCCAGTTTCCCCAAATGGAAGGATCCACTTTCTCCTCTCCTCGTGAGCTGTTCTGGGAAGGTTCCCTCCCAATGCCCTAGAGCCAAATTCAAGGGGTTCAGGGCGGCATGGAGAGGGGGAGGGGAGGAATGGGGGGCAGACTCCATTTTCCAGTGGATGGCGCTGGTTAGGTCACTATTTGTTCTCATTTGTCGACTTCTTAGAAACCAATTTTAGCATTCAGTGATCAATCTAGAAATAAAATACCGTATTTTTCGCTCCATAAGACACACTTTCCCCCCTCTTAAAATGTAAGGGGAAATGTCTGTGTGTCTTATGGAGTGAATGTGTGGTCCCTGGAGCCAAATTGCCGGAGTGCAGCATGCTCCTGAGCTGCTCTTTGCTGGTGGTGGGGGAGCCACGCTGCTCTGCCAACAGCCTCCGCTTCCCCCTGCAGCCCCGGTAAGGTTTGGGAACAGCAGCAGGCAAAAGAGATTGCACAGAAAGAGGGATTGCTGCTGGCTTCAGGAATAGCTGCGCAAAGCCTCTTCAGCTTTGCCTTGCTTTCACTGAAGCCAGCACAGCAAGAGGGAGAGCTGTGCAGTGCCTCTTGTTGTGATGCCTTGGCCCGATCCTCTCTCCTCCTCCTTCTTCAACTACATTTGATTCAGAATATTTTTTCCTTGTTTTCCTCCTCTAAAAACTAGGTGGGTCTTATGGTTGGGTGCGTCTTATAGAGCGAAAAATATGACAAGCCTCTTTTGGATGGTCATCTGTCTTGTATGATCTAGCAGAGATTCCTGCAGTGTGGGGGTCTCCTGGCTCTGAGAGACAAGCAGGGAGGGTGGCTTCTGGCAGAAGGAGAGGGAGCCACCGGTGGCTCCGCCTTCTCCTGACTCAACTCTGTCTCTCACCCTCCCTCTGCCCACTCACCTCCTTCCTCTTCTTGCTCTGATTCTGGACTGCATTCTGCCACAGAGTCTCCCAGCTCACTAAGCCCTGTTACCCCTTCAGATTCTGACACCTCCTCTTCCCAGGCTTCTCCCTCTTCTCCCTTTCACTGCTCATCCTTGTTCCACCTCCACTCCTTGGGCTCTGAGCCATCTTCCCTTCCTGGTTCCCTGGCTGCTTCCTCCCACCATTCCTCTGTATCCAACCAGTCCATGACGTTGCTCCATCCCTCGGCCTCTGTCCCCACAAGATAGCTTCCCCTGACCTGATCTGGTTCCACAGCCGCTGCTTCCCTTCTGCCCCCATGAAAAGGTGGATAGGGAGGTCTTGCCGGCATCATTATGTCACCTGCAAGAGAGAAAAGGTAATCAGGTTGCCAGAAGTGCCTGCTTCTCTCACAGGTGAAACAGGGGATCTCTAACTACAGATGGGCCTTTGAGAAAGCCTTACCAACTGAGAGCATTTGGACGTTTGTGCCCATTTCATATGTTTGTTTGTGCAAAAATACATCTCCTCTCCTCTGGACCCTTCCTCCCAACTGTCTCCCCCCAAAACAAGATGAAAAGAAAACCAACTCAGATGAGTTGGAAAACCAACAGAATGAAACCAAATAGAGAAAAACCACCTTCCTCCTTACTCAGTGGCCTCTCTCTGGTGTCCAACGGAGGCCTCTCTGCCTCACAGGAATCCAGGTCCATTTCTGCAAAATGATCGTTTTCCTGAAAAAGAAACAAGGATTCAAAACAGAGAATGGGGAAACATATAAGAAAGAGAATGACAAAGACTTGAAGGGTGTGAGATCTCACTCCATGGATGCCTTCCCAGAAAACGGATGGGCCAACAATAGAGCATTATGGGATGTTCACCGTCCTGTTTGGAGCCCCTTGGGAGTATCCAGAGGAAAGTCTCGCTCACCTGCTTTCTCTCCTCTGCCTGACTCAGGAGGAAACCTTCGGCCAGGGCCACCGCCTGGGAACTGGTCTCTGCTCCACAGTCCCTCACCCAGTTCTCCATCTCCGGTGGAATGACAGCCAGGAACTGCTCCAAGATCACCAGGTCCAGCATCTCAGCTTTCGTGTGCCTTTCTGGCTTCAGCCACTGATGGTCAAGGTAGTAGAGTTGGCTACAAACCTCTCGGGGTCCTTTGGCCTCCTGGCAGCAGAACTGCCTCACCTGCTGGCTCTGCACCTCTGAGCGGAGGGTGTCCTCCTCACCCAGGATCTTCTGCACTGGGTTTTCCCAGAATCCCCCAGTGCTCCCAGTTTGGATGTCATGGCCTCTTCCTGCTTCAGGGCCAGTTGAGTCTCGCTCATCCATCTGTGCTCTCAGGAAGCCTCTAAGAGATCGGAAGGAATCCTTTGGTCTTCTTCCAAGTTCCGTCCGTCTTAAGGAGAGGCGCTACAAATCCTACAAAGCAAATACATTGTTCAGTTACAAAAGTTGTCTAATATCAGGAGAAGAAAAAGGTTCCCTGAGCAAGCATGGATGAGTCTTGGAGGGAACCAGGGCTGGACTGCACCACAGCCCAAACCATGAGCTATTTTATTTATTTAAATTTCTATAACACTTCATATTTTAAAGAAAAATCTAAAAGCGGTTTACAGCATATTAAATCTGTGGGGATAATTAGGGAGGCAGAGAGGGATATATTATTTAATGATATCCTTCCTAACATGCACTAGCAAGTTCCATATTCTAGCAGAGTTCCATAAATCCCCCTTTTTTAGATTACGCAGCGATCAGCTTGTTGCTGACTCATCTGAGTCTTACTATTAAAAATTCCTTCCTGGTAAAAAGAGGAGTAAGAGGAGAAGAAATATGTCTCTAGCCTTCTAGCAATGCAAAATGTGGAGGCAACTGAAGGGATTTCTGGGAGATGAATCGGCCTGGTTGCTCCTGCCTTCCAGTCAATGCATGAAGTCAGAACTGACTGACAAGGGAGTCATTTGTATCTTGTGAAAAATTGATGTTTTGCTCTAGTGGGGAGCCTCACCCGGGGGTCCTCAGGAGTTGCTCTCCCCCCACCCCCACTCCCCTGCTTCCGTCTCCTTTTCTTGCACTTGGTCTCTCTGCCGCTCTCCAGACATACTCCTGGGGTGGGGTCCCTTTTTCTTTGCTCTGAGGGCCAGGTATGTATCTGGCCAACCCCCTGAAGGCCAAGTGGGCAGAGCCAAAGACATCTCCTTTGAAATTTAGGTGGGTTATTTCATATTAGTATTCTATTAGATAGCTTAACACACACACACACAGCCATTGATGCCCAGGTACCTGGAGGCTCAATGAGTAGCAGCGCCCATTTCCAGCAACAATCCCTTTGGGAGAGAGAGGATGTGGTCCTGGGATGCCATGCTCTGGGTGCGATGGGATTGCAGCAGTGGCCTCCGTGGGGAGCTGCCCTGGGAGACACTGGGAAACTGGATTGCAATGCAGCAGCCAGACTATGGGCTGGGATCCCTCTCTTTATTCCTGGCCTTTCTCTCCCACCTTTTTTTTTGGGAGGGGGGTGTTAGTGTCCACCTCCTTGTCCAGCTTTGGAAAACCATTTGCACATGTTTCCTCTGTTGTGCAATGAGGCTGAGCGATGTCACACTGAGTTAAAGTCCCAGGGACTCCTTTGTGTAAAGAAGGGAGATCTTTTCTGAAGGGGGGGGGCGGAAGGCCAAATGAGTTTGGGATCCTCTGATCTGCAGGAAGGAGAGCGTGGCAGACCTGGCCCTTCCCCCCCAGGCCCCCTCCCCTGCTGCAGCCCTGGGACCCCCACCAGATCCCAGAGATAGAGGAGACTCACCAGATCCCAGGAGGGGACAGCGAGGCAGCCCTTGCAGGAGAGACACCAAAGCAGGAAAGGACTGGGGAGGGAGGGGCCTTGGCTCGGGAGGACCTGGCCCCCTCTTGCTTCCTCTCTAGGAATGCAGCTCAGTTCACTTTAACCCTTGCAAAGCCCAGTGTGCCCAGATCTGACCGCTGCGTTTTTCTCTCTAGCGCACACTGCAGACTTCCAGAGATGCTTTTTGGGGGACGCCTCCTGCTTTCCTTCCCCTAGAGTTCTCACATAGGCTAATATTGGGCCAATACCAGATACATTGTATCCGCTTAGAATTGACACTTTCGCTGTTCTCTCGGCGGGGGGGGGAGGGTCCCACGCTTCTCCTGCAAAAGGAGATGAGCTCCTTTTCTGGCACTTGCAATTCCCCCCCTTTGCCTGTTCATAGCACTCCCTCAACGGGGGGGATTTTTTCCTTGTCTTCTCATGAGGTGGCCAAAGGATTGGAGCCTCAGCTTCACGATCTGTCCTTCCAGTGAGAACTCCGGGCTGATTTCCTTAAGAATGGATATGTTTGATCTTCTTGCAGTCCATGGGACTCTCAAGAATCTCCTCCAGCACCATAACTCAAAAGCATCAATTCTTCGGCGGTCAGCCTTCTTTATGGTCCAGCTCTCACTTCCATACATCACTACTGGGAAGACCGTGGCTTTTACTATACGGACCTTTGTTGGTAAGGTGATGTCTCTGCTTTTTAAGATGTCTAGATTTGCCATCGCCTTTCTCCGAAGGAGCAGGCGTCTTTAATTTCGTGACTGCTGTCACCATCTGCAGTGATCATGGAGCCCAAGAAAGTAAAATCTCTCACTGCCTCCATTTCTTCCCCTTCTATTTGCCTGGAGGTGATGGGCCCAGTCGCCATGATCTTCGTTTTTTTGGTGTTGAGCCTCAGACCATATTTTGTGCTCTCCTCTTTCACCCTCATCAAAAGGTTCTTTAATTCCTCCTCACTTTCTGCCATCAAGGTTGTGTCATCTACATATCTGGGGTTGTTGATATTTCTTCCGGCAATCTTAATTCTGGCTTGGGATTCATCCAGCCCTGGCTGGTTTCCCGACACCCCCACACAGCCCAGCCTTTCGCATGATGAATTCTGCATATAAGTTAAATAATCAGGGAGACAATATACAGCCTTGTCGTACTCCTTTCCCAATTTTGAACCAATCAGTTGTTCCATATCCAGTTCTAACTGTAGCTTCTTGTCCCACATAGAGATTTTTCAGGAGACAGATGAGGTGATCAGGCACTCCCATTTCTTTAAGAACTTGACATAGTTTGCTGTGGTCGACACAGTCAAAGGTTTTTGCATAGTCAATGAAGCAGAAGTAGATGTCTTTCTGGAACTCTCTAGCTTTCTCCATAATCCAGCGCATGTTTGCAATTTGGTCCCTGGTTCCTCTGCCTCTTGAAATCCAGCTTGCACTTCTGGGAGTTCTCCGTCCACATACTGCTTAAGCCTGCCCTGGAGAATTTTAAGCATAACCTTGCTAGCATGTGAAATGAGTGCAATTGTGCGGTAGTTGGAGCATTCTTTGGCACTGCCCTTCTTTGGGATTGGGATGTAGACTGATCTTCTCCAATCCTCTGGCCACTGCTGAGTTTTCCAAATTTGCTGGCATATTGAGTGTAGCACCTTAACAGCATCATCTTTTAAAATTTTAAATAGTTCAGCTGGAATATCATCACTTCCTCTTGGGTTGAAATGAACGACAGACGAGTAGGTAGGTGTCATACGGGAGGCGTCTCCGAGCAAGTCTCGGAGAGTCCCTTTTATTGAATATTACTGCGTTTGCCACGTGTGTGCTTGTTGCTGATTGGTTAACATAAGTACAAAGCAAGGGTTGCATATAAGACATTAATTATTGCATATAAGACATTAATCATAGACAGGTTAAAGGTTGGAAAAAGGAACGCGGCGTTTACACAGACATGGCTTCCTTCTTATCATGATCGATGTGGTGCTACTAATGGGCTGCCCGTACCAGGGTGGTACGAAAAGGAATGTACAAGGAGGGGTAAGTACAGATTGATATGGTGTGAACTCAAGGTGAACAGAACGTACCAGGGTGATGAGGGAATGTCTTAGCATCAGCACGGTTTGTGCAGCGTGAGCAGAACAAAGCTTAGAAGCAAGACTTCCCATCATGCCACAGTCATGTGCAAAAGCAATGCTTTCCTTCAACTTCCACTGGCCTTGTTATTAGCAATGCTTTCTAAGACCCATTTGACTTCACTCTCCAGGATGTCTGGCTCAAGGTCAGCAACCACACTACCTGGGGTGTACAAGACATCCATTTCTTTCTGGTATAGTTCCTCTGTGTATTCTTGCCACCTCTTCTTGATGTCTCCTCTTCTGTTAGGTCCTTTCCACTTTTGTCTTTTATTATGGAAATCTTTGTACAAAATGTTCCTTTCATATCTCCAATTTTCTTGAACAGATCTCTGGTTTTTCCCATTCTATTGTTTTCCTCTATTTCTTTGCATTGCTCGTTTAAGAAGGCCTTCTTGTCTCTCCTTGCTATTCTTTGGAAATCTGCATTCAGTTTCTTGTATCTTTCACTATCTCCCTCGCATTTTGCTTGCCTTCTCTCCTCTGCTATTTGTAAGGCCTTGTTGGACAGCCACTTTGCTTTCTTGCATTTCCTTTTCATTGGGATGGTTTTCGTTGCTGCCTCCTGTATAATGTTACGAGCCTCCATCCATAGTTCTTCAGGCACTCTGTCCATCAAATCTAAATCCTTAAACCTGTTCCTCACTTCCACTGTGTATTCATAAGGATTTGACTTAGATTGTATCTTACTGGCCCAGTGGTTTTTCCTACTTTCTTCAGTTTAAGCTTGAATTTTGCTATAAGAAGCTGATGATCTGAGCCACAGTCAGCTCCAGGTCTTGTTTTTGCTGACTGTATAGAGCTTCTCCATCTTTGGCTGCAGAGAATATAATCAATCTGATTTCGATGCTGCCCATCTGGTGATGTCCATGTGTAGAGTCATCTCTTGTGTTGTTGGAAAAGAGTGTTTGTGATGACCAGCTTGTTCTCTTGGCAGAACTCTATTAGCCTTTGTCCTGCTTCGTTTTGATCTCCAAGGCCAAACTTGCCAGTTGTTCCTTTTATCTCTTGATTCCCTATTTTAGCATTCCAATCCCCTATAATGAGAAGAACATCCTTCTTTGGTGTCACTTCTATAAGGTGTTGTAAGTCTTCATAGAATTGGTCAATTTCAGTTTCTTCAGCACCAGTGTTGTTGTTTAGTCGTTTATGCTACGATATAGAAGCGATGCAGCTGCGAGCTGCTAGCTAGAAAACATCACATGATCGAATGTTGGGACTGTTCCGTGGGAAACAGAGGGACAGTCTCTGAAGGAAGATTTATTGCTCAGATAAGCCTGGCGTCCGGCCCGCTTTCGCTGCGCAGTCTCTTGCCAGGCCTCTGCATTCCAAACTCCACATTCCGATGCTCTGAGCAAAAGCAGAGATCAGCAGCGGTAAGAGAAAGCTTCAAAACTCCAGTGCATTCTTCAGTGTGCTTAAATAAAGTCCATTCAGGATATTAGCAGCTAGAAGCAGTTTTATTTACAGCAGACTATCCATTATCTATCACAGCGAACAGCATCGTGAAAACACGTCCACTCTCCTCAAAAGCGAAAGTAGAGAAGAACAAAGGCTGGAGGCTCTCGGATATGACGCAGAAGTTCCCCCCTCCCAACAGTAGGCAGGGCGTACACTCTGAGCTGTTTAACCCTGTAAGCTCAGGTTCTCCTCACACCCCCTCTCGCCCTGCGCTACTGTGGGGAAAGTAAGTAGAGAACTTACCCCCAACTCCAAACCACCACAAAACTCCCCATGATGCTGGAAGCTTAAAGGTTTGGTAAATCCATCGGCCAAGTTATTGTGACTGGCACAATACTTCAGCCGAATCAAACCTGACTGAACACTCTGAAACACATTTTGGAAACGTATGTCCAGATGCTTGGTTCTGGCCTTAAATTGTGCAGATTCAGCCAATTTCAAACAAGGTTGATTGTCCTCCCAAACCGTGATGGGCAAGCTACAATCCCCATAGATCTCTTGCACCAAGCATCTATAGAACTGCACTGAATTCAGCCTCAGTAGAAGACAGTGCAATGAGACTTTGCTTCTGGGACTTCCACCCAACTAGTGACTTCCCAAACTTTACCACCAACCCAGACACAGACTTGCGGTCCTGCGAATTCGCCCAGTCACTGTCCGCATAGCATGTGAGCTTCGCCTCACCTTCAGCTGGCAGCTTAAGACAGAAGTCTTTGGTATGCTGCAGGTAGCGCAGTACCCGCTTGATACCATGCCAAGCACTCACACTGGGCTTTGACGCTTCCCTACTTAGCAGGTTGGTAGCAAAGGCAATGTCTGGTCTGCTCCATTGGGACAGATACAACAGACTACCTAGAGCTGACTGATAGAGCTCAGCATTCTCGAACTCAGCACTTTCTGCTTGCTGGCTATCTTTCACGAAGTTCGTCTCCATGGGTGTCCGAACTCCTGCACAATCGGACATTCTGAACTTCTCAAGCAACTGCTCAATCTTGCCTTTCTGACTGAGCAAGAAGCTACCATCCTCAGTTCTTGCTATCTGGACGCCCAGGTAGATATTTACTGCACCCAGGTTCTTGAGCTGAAACCGTTTCCCAAGCTCTTTGGCAAACTTCTGCACCTGTTTGTCTGCCTTTCCAACATGGATGATGTCATCAACGTAAAATAACACCAGTTCCTGTGAGTCTCCTGATCCTCTAAGGAACAGGCAACTGTCAGCAAGACTCTTCCTGAAACCTAGCTTCTCCAAAGCTTCATTCAGGCACAAGTTCCAATTCCTGGCCGACTGTTTCAGGCCGTAAATTGACTTGTGAAGTTTCCACACAGTACCTTGCTCATTGCCCTCAAACCCTGGAGGAGGAAGCATGTACAGATCCTCCTGGAGGTCTGAGTTCAAGTAAGCAACGTCCACATCAAAGTGATGCACCAGCAACCCTCTTTGTGCAG